TGTAGACAGCAAGAAATTAATGAACATTTTAAAGAGATTTAGTCAATAAACAGTTCATTAAGTGTATGTGAGGTTGTTGAGTGCTCAGTGTTAGTGTTAAGATGACTGAGCCCCTGCGATGACTAAGGTTACTATCTAGGTGGGAAAATGGTGAAGAGTATTTCAGGAAGGTGGTAGCATATGGATTGCAGAATAGCAGCAATAGTGGCTGATAGACCAGTTTAGGGGCCACACCAGTTCAAGTCTGAAGTAATAAGGACTCGAATTTAGTTAGCAGTGGAACCAGGAGGCAAGAGGAAGAGATAGGACGGGTTTTGCAAACAAAGACTTGATAAGAGTGTTGAATATAGAAGGCAAGAGAGAATAAAGTTAAAAATTAATAAACGTTTTAAGTTTCACATTAGGAAAGTTGTGGTGCCACTGAAAAAGCAGGGGATTAGTAAAAGAATCTGTTTAGTCTTTGTCCCGTCCCCCCCCCCCCCCCGGAGCTGAGGACCGAACTCAGGGCCTCTACCACTAAGCTAAATCCCCAACCCCTGTTTAGACTTTGTATATGTGTGGATAAGGCTGGAGGAGTACTGTACAAGTGCCAGTTTGAAGTAGCTCTGTTTTTGAATCATCATCTTGGGGTATACGCAATTTAATGTGTTGGGGTTTTTTGTTGTTGGTTTTTTTGGTGATTGTTTGTTTGTTTGTTTTGGGTTTTGAGACAGGATTTTTCTATGTAGCTCTGGCTGTCCTGGAACTCACTATGTAAGCCTGCTGGCCTCGAACTCACAGAGATCCACCTGCCTCTGCCTCCCAGGTGCTGGGATTAAAGACGTGTGCCACCACCGCCCAGCTTGCAATTTAAATTTTAATTATCTGTGGTATGTGTGTCTGTGTGTGTGTGTGTGTGTGTGTGTGTCTGTCTGTCTGTCTGTCTGTCTGTCTGTGGGTATATACACATAAGTACAGATGCCTGAGGAGGCTAGGAAGGTCAGATTCCTTGGAATTGGAGTTATAGGCAATTGTGAGCCTCTGGGAAACAAATTCAAACTTGGTTCCCCTACAAGAACTGCAAAGATTCTTAATTGCTGAGCCGTTTCTCCAGCTCCTAAGTGTTTGTTTTTAAAGAAATGCTACTACATCCTAGGCTTATAAAGGATGCTAGGAGAAGTGTTTATAGTCAACAAAGTGTGAGAAAACCCTCCTTGAGGACCTGAGGAGCGGGCTCAGGGATGTGGGGTTCTGTCTTGGCGTTGGCTGTGCCAGCGTGAGGACCTGAGTTGGGATCCCCAACACTCACACGAGAAGCCAGGCACGGAGGCCCATGCCTCTGACCTCAGTTGCTGGGGAGCGGAGACAGGCAGATCCCAGGGGCTTGCTGGCAGTCATTCCAGTGAAAGACCCTGTCTCGACACAGCAGAAAGTGTCACCCTCTGGTTTCCACCTGCACACACGCACAGGTGTGTGCACACACATGCACAGGTGTGTGCACACACATGCACACGTGCACGGAGGGGCATGTGTCCCACAGTCTAATTCTAGCACCAGGACACTATGTTTAGTAATTACTGTTTTGCAGGGCTGCATAGTGAGACTCTGTCTCCACAAAGGTTACTGAGTCCTGTCGATAATGTCTTCCCGTGTGCTCCTGCTGCTGAGAAAGTTTAGTTTATAAGTGAGGTGCAGCAAGAGAGTCACAATAAGAAATGATAAAGTAAGGTAACTATAGCTATGCTTTAATAAAAAGATATTTGAAGCTTTTAAATTGTTCATTTTTAGAATTTTTCCATCTAAGTGTTTTCCAACCACAATCAGCTGTGGATAACTGAAACTTTGCTAAAGCAAAACTGTGGATAAAGGGGTTGCTGTAAATGCCTCCCACAGTCGATACACATTTTATGAGGCAGAGAAAGCTTATCACCTCATATTCTTACTATATTTGTTTATTGGGCAGTATAGACCCCTCTCTGATTAATAATGTATTCTTATCTAAAAGACTGATTCTTCATGCATGGCTAAGAAAAGACCTTGTGATTGTGAAGAAGGAGGGAACAATAGCCACAGCTGTCTCTGGAAGGTAATTATTGTAGCTCACTCAGTCAAGCCTAAAGCAATGGAGAAGGAAGGCTTGCACTGCCAGACCCATTTTGATATAACACCCACATGCTTTCCGTGTACAGAATGAGCCTTATGGACACTAGTGGTCTAAACGTCTAATACTGTTCTGATGGAGGGGAAATACAGAAGGAAGGAATCTGCCTAGAAGAAAGAGGTTCACATTTGTTCTGACTACCAATCAGTTCTAATCCTTTAATGGGAGTTATGGTGTTTGAGTTGAGGACTGGAGGACATTAAAGAACCTATGAGTCACTCCCCTTCTGAAGGGAATCCACCCTGACTAGCCTAGTGAGATTTTGGCTGACACCATGGGACAAAGAGCCTCCCCGTCCCCACCAGTGTGAGATGAACCACCTCACTAGGAGAGTTTTACTCTTTGAGTGTGCTCTGTTTCTGTGTGCACAGTTTTGGTGTGATTTAATAAAAATTGATTTTTCATTAAGCATTTTTATGTATGTAGTGTGAATAAGTTCCTTTTCTGTTTATATTTTTACTCTTGAATATTTAGTTTCAGTAGATTGTTCAGTTATTTACTGGTAGAAATAGTGGCTTACTTGTTCTCTTCTCTTTCAGCAA